TATGATTTGAATCCACTCTCCAGAGTTAACAAATCATTACTGAGTACGGTAGCATTGGGACAGAGGAGGGACATGGAGGGAAGAAGCTTTAGGCCCAAGTCAGGAATGAACGCATGGCGAATGAGTCACTCCATGGCATATCTGTGAAGCCAGGGAGAAAGGCACAAGCCAGGCCTGCTAGGCACCATAAAAGGAGAGGCAAAAGGAGGAGGAAGAGGATATACTAAAAGATATCCTTTTAAGAGGGATATAAATCTTACAAGAGCTGCCTGAGAAATTACCCTGTCCTTCTACTCCCAAGATCCAGCCAAAGAAAAGGCCCTTGTGGTTCAAATGTAATTACAGAAATGGACAAAATCAAAGTCTTGTTTTCTTCTAAAGCAGATCAGTTTGGACCAAATAGTCATACTTCAAATAGGAAACAAATCAAAGTAACTGAATGAAAATTCTGCAGTTTAAACATGCATTTTACACTGGAGATGTTAACGGTGAAGAGTAAGAATGGAAAGAAGTGGCAAAGTCTGAAACAACTCTGTTAAACACAAAAGTAACTTTATTGAACAGCCTGAAGATTAATTTCCATTCTTCTTGGTTATTCAGCACAGATGTGTGCAAGGCCCACCATCTGCTGGCAGGCTTTGGTACTGCTAGTTTGGAAAGCACTGTTGAGATGCTGGCAGAGGACATTGATACATTAGTCAGGTCTCAACAGGTGCAACAAATATCAGATCTTGGGCCTCTGATTTATATATTTTCTGTCTTAAAAGATATAATAGTGTCTATTTTGGGTAGGAAGAGGTTCTGGATAGGTCCCTAAGCCCTCATAGTCATCAACAACCCTCTTTCTCTTCCAGTTATATAACTGGAATTGTGCTGGTTGTGATGGTTCATGCCTCTAATCCTAGTTACTCAGGAGGCAGAGACTAGGAGGACTGGGGTTTGAGACTATCTCAGGCAAAAAGGTTGTGAGAGCCCCATCTCAACCAATAAAAAGCTGGGCATGATGGCATTGCTTATCATCTCAGATATGCAGGAAGCATAGATAGGAAGACCATGTTCCAGGCCAGTCCAGGCATAAACATGAGACCCTATCTCAAAAATAACAAAAGCAAAAAGGTCTGGAGGTGTGGCTCAAGTGGTAGAGTGCCTTCCTAGCAAGCACAAGGGCCTAAGTTCAAATCCCAGTATCACCAAATAAATAATAAGTGGATTCGTACAGTATGATTCTCTTGGGTCTGGTTTGTAAGACTTGCCAATGAGGTTAAGCAAGGAGCAGTTTGACCAATTCCTTTGTATGAACAGATCACAATTTTATCTATTCTCTTTTTGACTCACATTTAGGCCGTTTTGAATTCTTTTTTGGCAGTACAGGGGCTTGAACTTAGGGCTTGCTAGGCAGGCACTCTATCACTTGAGCCACTCTACCAGCCTGTTTTGAATTCTTTGTCTATTACAAATAATGTAGCTTGAAACATACTTGGCTGCATCTTCTGATGAAAACATGTAAGCATTCCTGTTGGGTGTATATTTAGGGGTGATGCTGCTGGATCAAAGGTATGAAAATATTTAAAGATAGTAGATAATCCTAACTGGTTTTCTAAGGTAGTTATACCTTCCAAACATCACATGTGAGAAGGCATATCCAAGCACCACATCCTTGCCAACACTTTATATTATTAGTCTTTTACAAAGTTTTAACCATGCTAGTGGGACTGTAGCAGTATCTTCTGATTTGGTTCTCTACAGCTTCTACATAGGAGCCTTTATTAGTTAAATGTATAATAAATATTTTCTTCATGTCTGTGTTCGCCCATAGTAAAAAATATATGGTGATTTAAAAACAGGACAACATGGCACCAAGCAGGGAGTAAACAATGTTAAGATGCTCAGAGGTCCTTGCATTGTCCAGAAAACGGTTAATTGATAATTTACAATTAAATGCAATAAGCCAGGGATATAATTGACAAACTCTGTAGTAACCACTAGCAGACGAATAAAATGATGAATATTTTTCAAGTTAGTGGGTAGGAAAATGAAATGATACAAATATTTGATTAAAGGACTGGGAATGTAGTTCAGTGGTGGAGCACCTGCCTAGTTTGTGCAAGGCCCTGAGTGTGATCCTCAGTACCACAAACAAACAAACAACAAACAAAAAATTTAAAAGAAATCGAAAAAGGAACATAAAATCGATAGGACAATTGATAGGAAACAAACCCAAAGATTTAAAAAGATGGAAAGGGATGTTGGAAAATTTGTTCCAAAAGGGAGTCAGGTTATAATATTAGGCAAGATATAGAGAGATGGGGACAAAAAGGGACATGATACACTCAGCAGTAGAGTAACAGATTAAGAAGAAATGTTGCTGTGAAACTCTCCTCCCCTCCAATGAAAATAGCCTCAGAATATATATAACAGGGCCAGAGGAACTACCAGGAGATGCAGACAGATCACCAATTACATTCCTACATTTAAATATACTCATATTAAAAGCTAATATATAAAATTGGCAAAAACAAAGATGTAAATTTGGATAACAATAAGATCAACCTAATACAGATATTCAGCTCATTAAATACACACAAAAAATTAAAGAATATAATTTCCTTTGTACCATATTTGGGACATTCACAAAAAGGTGAATATATGACTAGGTCACAAAGGAAGCTTCAATATATTTTGAAGCATCAATAACAGGTAAATATATTTTTGTCCAAAATGCAATAAAATTAGAAATCATCAGTATCAGAAAATAACATATCTTCAAGCTAAAACATACATTACTTGAATAATCTTTGGATGAAAGAAATTTATAAACTAAGTTGTGAAATACTGAGAACTTATGACAGTGGCAAATACTATATAATGAAATATGAGATAGGCGTTAAACAGGTCTTATAGGGAAATTATGGAAAATGTCTTTGATATTTGGGTGAGAAATACTTTTTAAACAACCCCCCAAAACATAAATCAAAAGGTAAAAATGAATGAGTTTGACTCTAGTAAATAAAGGATTTCTATTCAGTGAAGAATACCATAGACAAAATTAATAAATAGGCAGTAGATGTAAGAAAATATATATAATATCATTAATATTTATAATAGTCAAGGAAATCTTGATTATCAATAGGAAAAGCATAGGGAATTCCAAAAGAAAAATAAGAAAGAGTGCTACCAGGCTATTCATAGAAGGAGAATCCCAAATGGCTAAGAAGTGTAAGAAGAGGTATTCAAACTCATTAATTTAATAAAAGGAATATAAATAAAAATTAAAAACAATTAGATAGAACGTTACATGCATCAGGTTAGAAAGTTAAAAGGAATGACAATGTCAAATACTGTTGTGACAAAACTGGAACCCATCTGTCCTGCCAGTGAGAATGTAGGTGGGTGCAGCAATGGGCCAATGTTTCATGAACACCAATTATGTTTCTACCCTGTGATCTCACAATCCTACACCTGGACATAAGCATCAGAAAAAGTCTCACTTTGCTGAATAAGTGGAGCTGTGTATGAATATTCATGGCAGAACTGCTGTGGAGGCAGAGTGCTGGGGACAGCTGGGGACAAGCTGAATGTCCATTGCTAGGAACATGGATAAGCAAAATGTGGCAAAGCCATTCTATGGAGCTCAATGCAGAAGCCAGGAACAAGAAACTAAACTTCAGGCTGCAATTTAAAAGTGTTAAGTAGAAAAAATAAGGAACAGAATGAGATGTGCACTACAAATGTATACGAATTTAAGACACATACAATACTATTTATTATTCAGAGATTTATATTCAAAGACACAAGCCATCATTAAAATAGATAACAGTGCTGTGAAAGAGAGTAAGAGTGAAAAGCAGAGATGAAGGGAAAAATTAATTTGAAGATGAATTCTGTATTTAAATTAAAAAAACCCAAACAGAATAACAAGGAGGTATTGTCATCAATAAAGAAATGTCTTTAAAGTTTGGATCACAGTTGGTCCTTCCCAGTTTGCATTCACATGGGAGCATTAGGAGTGTTCTTAAGGCCCCTTCCTACTACCTTTCTTAAAATGATCCTATTAGTTTTATGAATTCTCATGATCACAAAGGTAAACTAGATTTTTGTGCCTTGGCTATGGAAAGCCATGTAGGTCACCTGGGATTCTCTGCCTCCTCTAGAAGAGGTCCACTAGTTATCTTTCAAAAGAACATGGACATACCCTGTGACCACAGTACTCTGGGGAATATAGGATTGGCCTTTGGGCAGGGTTAAGTGTGCTAACTACTCAATACCCGTTGGCCTTCTCTTGAGAGTTTGTTTGGAGGTTCTAGCAGAGGAGCACAACTATACCCTTGTATATCCTTGACTGAAGGATGGTCCTCAGCTAGTGAGGAAGGTCATCCTCTTCGACCAAGTGTACAGCATTAGGAGGAACACACATGGAGTGGTGAGAGGAGAGGACACTGGCCTGGCCAGCCAGATCAGTAGAACCAATCCTCCTGATCAGTGGGATGACAGATGTTGAAGCCAGATGACCCTCACATCCATTGCTAGATTTATTGGGCGAGTGAGGAGTGGGGTGAGAAATAAAAACCAATCTGCTCATTATCACAAATCAGCTATGATTTTTCGCCTTTGAGGCCCTAGTCATGAAATTTATCTACTCAAGCATTTTAGACTGGAGCAGTGGAGGGTGAGGAAGGAAAGAAGGAAAGATGAGAAGGACAAGGGGGTAACAGATAGTGAGAGAGAGCAGGCAGAAAGTAAGTCAAGGGAATAATGAAAAGAAATTGAGAACCCCAGGTGGATATGAGTGCCCTGGACATCAAGTATAAAGTGTCACTTGTGTTTGTCTTTGTTGGGTCTGCTCTGACCTGCCTGTGTTCCTTTTACTTCTGGACAATGGCCTTGGGAGAAGTCATGGACAGAGTCCCATGGAGAAAGCTCCTCCTCCTACCTGAAGATAGATTCCATTGGCAAAGAATCTCCAGTTACCATGCATACAAAGTCTTAAACTTGAAACTTACTGTGCAAAGGACAATTTGATCCGTGCTTGGATTTCTGTCCACTCTTCCTTTATAATTCTTCCACATTGTAGCAGCTCCTTGGAAAGTCTCTCTGCTTTCATCAAATTCTCAGAGGCTTCCTTAAATCTGAATTGTGCTCAGGAAATGTTCCACTTGGTTCTAGATTCTGAGACTACCCTGGTCCTAGACTTTCTTGGCACTCATATTTCCTATCATTCTTTTTGAAATTTCCAAATTTAGCTGGCCTTAAGAATTAAATATAAGCATTATATATAAGCAGTCTTTCTAATTGGATAAGAGGCAAAAGGATACTTTTGAAGTGAGAGTGAGGCTCTCCCCATGGTATAGAAAAGCTCTATGGAGCACTTGAAGACATCTGTATTGTCATTATAGGGAGGCACAATGGAGCTAGCGAGGATTTCCTTGGCTTTTTCTGCATGCTGCTTTGCTTGCAGTGAGTATCCTATGGAAAAAAGAAGCAGCCTCAGTTTCTCTTAAATCTCAGTTGGACAGAAACACAATTCTCTATGGACAGGGACTTTGACAAAGTTTTCTACATATTGTCAAGTGGAACATGGAGATGTAACTGAGCAGCAGGAAATATTGTCATGACTGTAACAACCAAAGAATTGTTCGATCCTGAGTACCCAAGATAAAATTTTCCCAAAATGGCCTTCTTAGAAATAAAATAAACAGAACAAGCTGGAATTGAACAGCTTTGAAACTTCACCAAAATCAGATGTAAAATATGTTATAAATAATTATAAAAAACAAATGGAATACCAGGACTATAGCATTCTGGGTAGGAGTAAGATATTCATGAATCTTAATCCTGGCTTTGTGACAGCAATCTTAATGAAAGACTAAAAATTCTGACTCTTTTGCTTAACCATCTATAATCAATGTTAAAGAATTATTTTAGCATAATACAAATATGATGGCATCTATAAAAATGTACAAACACAATTCTGATGAGGTAAGGGACTATCGGGCCACAACCTCTTGCTTTTATGTGGTAATAGACTACTATAGAGCAAAATAGAGTGGGGAAAGTTACTACTAAGATCTAGTGTTCTTCCATGAGCTTACTCACCTGTAGGAGAGATGATACTAAGGATCACCGTCTAGATTCAATGCTTGGTGCTTCCCCATACTTCCATCCTTCTCCCCCACACTGCCACCCCCTCCTTTCACTCATATCTACACGTCCCCGGGCCTATGTTCTGAATTACATGGAACTGTACCTTGGATCTCTGCAAAAGGTGTCAAAGGATGAAGTTAGTTCTGTTCCTATATCTACAACCAGAAACAATATACTTTCTAATGAAGAAAATCAATCTTATGTTCTTTATGTGGAAACTCTTACAGAATTTTATGGGTCTTAAATTTTTAAAAAGCACATAGTTAATCAGCTTGCCAGAAGTTTATTACTGCCAGTTGTACACGTGATATAACAAATGGCACAATGGACTAGATTTCCAACCATGGTCTCTTCCCTTAAGACCTTAAACTCAATCTACCAGAGGCTGCATAGGCTGAGACTCAGAAACATTGGCTCTGATTTCAGACTGCCCAGGATAAATTCCCTGCTCTCCTACTTATTATGAAACATTGGCCTCAGCTTCCTCCACTGTAAACAGGAATACTACTAATCACCTCAGGATTGTGGTGAAGACTGAATGGGGTTCTATGTGGGAAACTGCGTGGTATCTGTCACTCAGGAAGACCTTACTAAGGTGGATATTGTACTTACTTTAAATCGAGAGAGGACACAGAGGGAGTGGGCTGCGGAAGGAAATCATGATTTGAAATCCCAGGTGGCAGGACACTGTACTGGCATGTGAAATCCTAGATCTGAGTCTCAAATCAGCTACATACTAACAGTGTGATCTGGGGCAAGCTGTTTCAACTCAGATTTGTTTTCTTTGACTCTAGAAAAGGGGTAGGAGGTAAATGAAATCATCTTCAAGGTCCTCTTGGTTGTAACAGTCTATGATATAACAAGTAAGACCAGTCTGTAATACGATTTGACCAGATGTTTTGGTGACAATTCAATGCTTGGCATTGTGGTGTTTTCTACTTCCATTGTTTTATGTACTCACTGGACCAACCCTGGGAAGTTAGTGTCACCACCATCCTGTCACTTTTCAGTTGAAGCTGAGTGCAGAGATGTACTCTTGTACATTTTGTTCTAGGCTGCAAAGTCAGAGAGAAGACATCATCTCTTGATTATCTGTACCTTTTGCCTTCTCTGCATCCATTCTCCCTCCTTGTTTTCCTTTTGGGATGCTCAGCCCTTGCACCTCCAATCCATGTGATCTGGCCAAAGCCAGCTTCTTCCCCAGTATCCACTGGTCTGGCCAATCAGACTATTTCTTTCCTTTGCCATAACCCAAGTTGGTCTAATTAGGATGTCCCACCACCCCAATCCTGGAATGTTTTATGTGGAACATTCTTTTTCTCCTGAGAATGCATAAAAGGGAAGCCTAAAGCTGCTGGCAGCCTTGCTGCCACCATGTGGGAGCAAGAATGGAGTCAATGCCAAGAAAAACAGAACCAAGTAGTGGGAAAAGAGACACCAAATCCTTGTCATAGTGTTTGAATATCAGATATGGCTAAGTCTAAAGGAAATTTTAGCTTTGGATATTTAAATTGTATGAGCCAATATGTTTTTCTTTTTCTTTTCTTTTGGTTATTTAGAAATTTTCTCCATCAAGAAAAAATGTGAATGAATTTCATTTTAAGTCCCTATTCCATATCTTAGGTCCTTTTGTAATAACTCACCTTGTAGATTATTGCCTAAAAACCCTAATTTTAAGATCATAAGAAAATCCAGAAGGTTGCATTCTTCCTTTCCCTTTCCTCTTTGAATATTTACATATTACATGTCTTATTGACCCTTTCTAAAAGGAAGAGGTTTTTCAATACGTGGAAAAGAGACTATCCAAAAACCTGATCCTTCTAGTTAAGTATGAAGCAAATTTGGGGAAAACAGCAGAAACCAACCAATTGATCATCCTAAGACTAAGATGAGCTCACCTTTCAGTTGGAGGTAGCCGTTAGCCAAATTAACATATGCCTCTGAGAGTTTCCAATGTGAGTTGCCATAGCAAATTCTAGTCAATGCTACACAACGCACAAGCTCCTGGATAGCTTGTTTATACTGTCAAGAAAAGAAAATGAATTTACAAGTTAGGCAGCTTAAAACTTAAGCTTTATGCTTTATGTAAAGCATAAAACCTACTTATATTTCTCCCCATTCAATAAATACTGATAGCCTACTGTGTGCTAAGTGTAGCTCTTAGGATAAACTTAGAGATAAACCAAGAGAACAAAACAAAGATCTATTTTGGGTGGTAGAATGTTCATCTGGTAGGGGATATAAACAGTAAACATAAATAAATACAATTTATAGTTTGTTTAAAGGTAAAAAGTATAATGAAATAAAGAAAAAAACTAGTAAAAGTGGAACAGACATCTAACCATTCCCTATGTTCTCTAGCTGCCACTCAATATATAGGTCCTATGTATTCATGTGTAACAAATGGGCAAGTGGTATTGGTTCTCAAATAACACTCTTTAGTTCTCAATTTGAACCTTTCCTTAGCAGTCTATGCTATTTGCATAGGAGATGATATCTTCAGGCCTGACACACAGACTTAGTTAAAGAAAGGAAAAGCACATTTTCATTTAGGGCTGGGACAAAGAGAATAGGGAACTGTGGATTTCCAGCTGCATGTCAGCTGAGAGTAACAATATAATAATAAAAGCAAGGCAAATAGTGTTAAAACACAGCTCCAAAATTCTTTGGCACTCCTTCCAATCAGAGATAGGGGCCTGTGTCCCCTTCTCTTTGAGCCTGAGTCTTATGAATGGCTAATAGAATATAAGGAACTGGTAGTTTCCAGTTTCTATCCCTTCTTGAGTGTCACTCCTAAACCTGAATATAGGTTAAAATGTATCCCCCTCCAAATTCATATGAAGTCCCAACCTCCTGCACCTCAGAATATAACTATATTTGTAGTCTAGGGGTTTAAGGATGTAACTAAGTTAAAATGAGGCCATTAGGGCAGGCCCTAATCCAATATGACTAATATTGTTACATAAAAAGAGAAAGAGTGGCAGGGATGTATGTGATAGAAAAAGGACCATGTGAGGACACAGGGAAAGCAGCCATCTACAAGCCAAGGAGAGAGGCCTCACAATGAATCAACCCTGCCAACACCTTGATCCTGGATTACTAGCCTGCAGAACAGCAAGAAAAGAATCTTGTGGTATCAAAAAGAAGAAAACTAATCACCAGCAAGCTCATCTCCAGAGATACCACGGTAGCTAAATACCACTTTGTGTTTTATTATTATGAAGCAATCTACATATTTTTTTCTTTTTCAAAATAGGCTTGTCAGCTGTGGGTTTGCAACCTGCTGTTTTAACAATTTATAAGCATGTCTCATGTCATCTTGTATGATACAAGTTTTAATGGCAACATACTATTTTATTGTACAGACATATCATAATGGAATTACTCGATCCAATGTTATTGGGCATTTAGCCTCTTTCAATTTTTTACTCTCTGAATAGTCAATATGTATATAATGAACCAGGATCCCAAAACCAGGGCTGGATCAGGGGAATTCCAGAGCATGAATGACAAACATAGATCAAAGATAGGTTAAAAAACTGCTGCAGATTGAAGAAAACTAAAGAGACATGGCAACTATATTTCAAATGCATTCATGCATAGGGCCATAAATCTGATTTTTTAAATAAAGAATATTATTGTGGAGAAATATGGATAAGGTTTGTAGACTAGATCAGAGTATTATACCAATATTATTTTCCTAACATCAATCACTGTACTGTGCTTATGTGGGAGATTAACCTTATTTTTAAGGAATAGATACTGAAATTATTTGGAGGTAAGGGACCATAATATCTGTAGTCTACTGTCAGACAGGTGAGATAAAGAGAGAGACAGAGAGACAGAGAGAGAGAATATAAATGAATAATGAAGGGGAGCTGGGATATGGCTTAGTGAATTCGTGTTTAACATGTGCAGGCCCTGAGTTCTATCCTCAGCACTAAAATAAAATAAAGCAATAAAGCAAATGTTGACACCTAGCGGACCATAATTTTTATATAAGTCTGAAAGTATTTTAAAATAAAGAATTACAAAAAATGGAAGTAAATTCTACCATGTGACTACCTGGTTAAACTCTGAAGATCTCCTAGGGTACTTAACATGCAAACTGCAAGGCCCCAAATGAACTTATCGCTTCTCTAACCACATTTCATTTCAGCCACAGCTTCCTTTCTTCACTTCAAATATGGCACATTCAGGCCCACCCTGTACACTTCATGTAAGTGTGCCATTTCCTCTCCCCTAGGACTCTTCCCTCAGCTCCTCCAAGCTGGTTCTTTTCTTTCTTAGTTCTTAGCTCATCTCCCTCCTCCTCACACAGCTCTCACTGACTTGCCTCCCAAGATGGGCCCACTCTACTTCCTGCTTAGCACTCATCACAATCTATAACTTTGTGATTCATTTACAATGCCAATTGCCCTTCAGCTCCATGAGGGCATGCACCTTGTCTCTCCTGTTCACTGTTGGATCCCAGGCTTCCATATCTGAACCACAGAGCACCAAGGTGCATTAGTACCATTCAGGGCACATAGAAGATATACATATGCTAAATGCCTTTGAGCATTAGGGATTAATTCTCTTGTATAGCTTTGGTTGAAGAAGGTACTGGTTTAGAGCTCACCCAGCATAGCAAATAGTAGGTACTGAATAAACATCAGCTGCACAATGAATAAGTACATATTCAAGATTAAATTCATGCCCTCTTGTCATTATCCTGGTCTTCCTCCTGTGTTCACCATACTGATGAAGGACACAGGACACCTCCAGTCACCTAAGCAGTCTGAGACTAAATCAGAGTTCTACACAGCCCATCTGCCTTACTCTCACCTCTCTACCTTCTATATCCCTTCCTTCATCCAGTTTCACTGATTTGCATTTTTACATTCCTTTCAAAGATCTCAGCATCTCTACTGCCTCTGTCATATATAATCCAGGCTCTCATAATTCCTTGTTGCAAATATGCTAACTGATTCTCCTCTCCCAATTTTCATTCCATCCTCTCCCATTTTTCATGTCCATCCTCTGCACAACTATTGAATCATTTTTATGATTCAAATCTGATCTTGGCTTTCCCCTGCTTATAATCCTAAAATATTCCTACAGTCCTTTTGGAGATCCTCAAAACTCTTTTATAGGGTGCTGAGTGCCCTCCAGGCTTCAGTTCCTATCCACAATCCAGCTTCATATGGAGTCTGCATCCTAGATCACTCCAAATAGCTTCTCAAACTGTGCTCCCTGACTCTTATCTACTACTTTTGCCCAAAACAAGTTCACCCCCTTCCTTACATGGAGGACTTCTCAGCAGTGTTACCAGTGCAGACCAAGTAACTCCTGCTCTAGGAAGTATGCCTTAGTTGCTGTCCCTCTACCACCTCTAGGCTCATTGCCTGTCACTTTCTGATTTGCACCTACATCATTCTCAGTGTGTCATTGCACTTACCACATTGACTGCCACTATTTGCCCCCTTGTTTGTCATCACAATCAAATAATAAATCCCTCCTGGCAGAGGCTGTGGTTTTTCCTCTGTGTGCCCTTGACACCTTCATAGCAGTGGCACACATTAGGCTTACAATGGATATTAGTAAAACAAATGAACAAAAATAGACAACACATGAAAGTGAATGAGGATGGGAAAGAAGTATGAAGAGAACAAGAAGATTAAGAACAAAGATTCATGAGCTGTAGGAGCACAGAAGCTTCATTTGTGCTGTACTGTATTCCAGAATCTAGGCATTCAACCATGTGCCAGGTCAACTGCTGGGTTTGGAGCTAGGAGGCCTCCGCTTACTTATGCAATAACAAAGGCTCTCTCCTTCATGCTCTCTTGTGTCTCACTCCTGATTAGGAATGTAACCTAAAACCCCATTTTTCTTGCTAGCTCAATTCTCACATACAGGTATAGAATCAAAAGGCCTTACTTGGTGATTGTTGGAGTAGGACTTCACTCTCTCTTCACACAGGTGGAGTTTCTCTCGAGGAGGCTGGAATAGAGCTGTCTGAGGCAGCTTGTTGGGGACCTTCTTTCTAGCAGTGATGCTGACAGCAGCCACAACTTCATCTAGGTGGTTGGACATGTGGGTTTCCTGTGAGTCTTGCATATTGTTATACACATTGTACCCTAATTGTTAAACAAAAAAAAGGTGTAAATGATCATTTCCATAGCTACTTGTGGAAATTCACATTTTTTTTTCCTCTAGAGAGTGAGGTTAGAATCTAGGAAAATTTCAACACTGTACTTATGACTTCTTTGAAATTAGTATTATTATATTCCAAAAGGTCATGGTGGCTGGCACTGATTTCTTTATAAAAGTTTCAGGCTGATGTCCAAACATTCTTTGATTTAGCTGAAACTAGAATCTATACTTACATATAAATTTATATATATAATATGTAATATATCTTATATATAAAATTTTGGGTATATATAAATAAAATCCAGTAGAAATTAGCTAAGCCCAAACAACTCTCCATGAGTCCATATGGAATCAGCTGAATTCCATTAGACCTTGAAGCTGAAAGTAAATAACTGGTGTGAGGCCTTCACTTCTGGCCCAAATGGAGTAATTGTGACCAAATTTATCCTATCGCTAAATAACTGAAAAACAAGCCAACAATCCACAGACATAAAAGTTATGAAGCAATGGTTTTAAGAGAAATTCCTGAGAGAAAAAAATAAAGAACCAACATTGCATCAGTTTATTGCTTTGAGATAGTTTCCAGGGCACAGAAGAAGGAGAAGAGACTCAAAAAGCTGAGATTTGGGAGACTCAAGTTTGGTGGCTCAAGTTTGTGGGACAGATTACTGGAGAGGAGAAGGCAGCATAGAGGGGCCCCTCAAATATGGGGAAGATACTGATCAACATGTAAGAAAACTGCTTGAGTCTGGGGAAAGACTCTTCCCATAAGATTAAAAAGAACATTGTCTACCACTCACATAAAGTTGTCACTTCCTGTTCCCCAAACTGAAATAGAAAAGCTTATAATTCATGATGCATTGGGTAAAATGCTCAGAAAAGTTTTGTCTCAGCAGTAGGGAGTAATCAGTCCCAGCCTGAGCACTGCTCAGATGTACCCAGAAAATGATAAAAGACCCAGAAAAACAATGTCAATGACAGGGAAAATAATCAATCAAAATTGGCCATAAATTAGCATGGATGTTAAATTTACAGAAAGGGATTAAACAATTATTATAATTGTATCCCATATAATTATATTCCATGGAGGATATAAAAAGGACCCAAGTTGAACTTGCAGCTATGAAAATTATGGAAAAATATACTAGATGGGATTGGTGAAAGATTAGATATGGCAGATGAAAAGATGAGTGAACTTGCAGACATATAGAAACTACACAAAATGAAAAATTACTAAGCTATAAAACAACTTCAAATTGTTTAATATATATGTAAGTTTCTAAAGACAAGCAGATTGGAGGGGGAAAGAAAAAAATATATGTGAAGAAATAATGGACAAAATCTTTCCAAATTTGAGAAAAGTATAAAGTATGAAGCTCAACAAACAGTAAGCATAAGAAACTAGATATGGTGACTTTTGCTTGTAACCCTAGCTACTTGAGAGGCAGCTTGGGACCATGATCTTCCTACCTCTGCCTTCTGAGTAGCTGGGATTACAGATGCATGGCAGCACACCTGGTTCATACTGTATGATTCTATTTTTATAAATTCTGAGGAAATCTGAACCAATGCATAGTGACCAAAAGCAGATTGAAGGTATCCTTCAACTGAAATGGGGGTTGGTGGTGAGGGAGAGAGAAAATGCAAGGAGAGGTACAATGAGGGATTATGAAGGGCTATGAGGAAACTTTTGGGAGTGATAGATATGTTCATATGGTATGATTTTTGGTGGTAGTTTCATGAGTGTACACATATGTGAAAACTTACCAAACTGTACACAGATAAATTAGATAAACAGATAGGGATCCCAACCCATTCCTCCTCTCCCTGCCAGATACCTCAAACTCTAATTCTATTACTTACTTCAAATTACATGTTAAATCTCACTTTATTGTCATTCACTTCATTATTAATTCACCAACTATTTATTGAATTCTGGCTATACGCAATACACCAGCTTAATGCACTACATGGAAAACAGTAATGCCAGGAAATGTAAAACTTAGCGGAACAATAGGTCAGGTGCACATGAGCATGATAGCAGCAGTGGTACGAATGCTGAAGGTATTCAGGTTGTCGTACTTCAGAAGTGGGAACCATTGATGCTTGATGATGTAGCTTGTTTGAAAAGATTTCAGAGAGCAAGGACAGAGAAGGGAAAGTGTTCCATCCCAAGTAGAGTGAATAATTAGCAAAAGTTTGGAGGTGGGAAAGTGAGATGAATATATGGCTAGCTATTGACAGTTTAGGTTTTTGGGTATGAGGTGGGGAGCACGGATACATAACATTTTCCCAGCCAAGACCGCAGTACACTAGAGCCACAAGACATCAGTGCACCTTCCACAAAGGAAGGTTATTGACAAAGATGATCAAATGAGTTGGCAAGAAATAAGTATTGGGTCTATAATAGGGGGATTCTATGATCAAATAAGTGGATAAACATGGACAAGTTTCTTTACTCAGGTCTTCTTAAAACTTTTAATACTAAAAAAAAAAAACTTTCAATGTAGTATTCTATCTTGCAACCATCTCAAGAGGAGGAGTGGTAGACAGCACTTTCCCAAACTTTTGATGATAAAATTCTATTTTGTTCTGGATCACCTATGAAATCTTAAAGAATTAGAACTTTTTAAACATTGCTTGAGAAACTGTAAGATAGGGGAAAAGGGAAAGACTGGGTTCCAGGCTGAATAGGCATTGATTTCAGGCTAACAATTTGATTGACTATTAGGCAGGGAGTGGTTTTGATTGACTTTTTTAGGCAGGGAATTGAAAATGCTTCTACAACATCAATCTCCAATAAGCAGACAAATTATAATCAAGTTATGAGGCAAAGTGGCCACTGATTTGCAAATTTCAAATATTCTAGTACCACCCTGATGATCTTTCCTCTATCTGTATTTGGCTTGCACTCACTACTCTTAATTTTTTCTTTAAATGCTTACTTCAAATTCATCTTAATAAATAATGAATGGTATTATGGATTCCATATGATAGTACATTTACCCCAATACACATTAAAATATAAACATAGGCATTAAGATTTTAAAAGAGTGTCTATGTTCTACTTAACAACACAATTGTAATTACACACTTTGAGAAATTCTAAATTTGAGCAATTGCACATTTTAAATTATTTATTTATTTCTTAGGTGGTGGGGTTTGAATTTAGGGCCTTGCACTTGCTAGGTACTCCACCACATTGTATGTCAGCCATTTTTCAAGTAAAATCTTTCCTTTTTGTCTGGATGGCCTGGACCTCAATCCTGCTACCTATGGCCTCTTGCTGAGATCATAAATATCCACCACCATACCTTAGGTCTTGCCTAGGCTGACCTCAAACCATGATCCTCCCAATCTTTACCTCCCAAATAGCTAGAATAATGGGCATGAGCCACCATGCCTCTCTCTGAACAGTCATATTTCTATCAAGTTTTACTCTTTGCAGTTTATATTTGGAGAAAGTAGGCATTGTCCCTAAAAATAAGTTTATAATATTCATTATGCTTAAAACTTCTCCCAAGATACTCTCAAACTTCAATAAATGTGGTCCAACAGTCACTCCATTACCTCCAGTTAGGAAAAATAAATCACTGAATATGATACTATGATTGCACAGAGAGAAGTGAGTTGCACAGTTACAGTAGAAAAGGAAGTGAGGAGAGGAGGAGTAAGGGAATTACTGAAAGGAATAATTATTGTAATTTGAGAGCTGCTTGGAAGTATAACTTAAAGAAGGAAAACAATGAAGACTGACCCTAACATTTTCATTCTGGGACTCTAGAATTGGGGTTGGCATACAATGGCATTGGGTCACATCTGAACCACTGTTTGTATAAATAAAGATTTATTAGAACACGGCTATGTTCATTTACTTACATATTGTCTATGACTGCTTTTGCATTATAACAGCAGAGGTGAGTAGTTGTGAATGAAAGCTTGTGGCCCTCAAATCATAAAATATTCACTGTCTGGTCCTTTCCAGAAAAAGTTTACCAATGCCTAAAAACAGTGATGCCATAAAGAGAAGTATAAGATAAAAGAGAGAGGTTATTTTAATAAGACAGTTAACATATTTTCAACCAGACTGAATTTGAGGTCGTGGGAGAAAATTTACACACAAAAAAAGCCTAATTTAAAAGTTAGAAACACATCATTACTTGTCAATGACATCTTTTTAAAGATAGTAATTTTCTTTTCCCTTTAAAAATATATAACTTCTTTCATTCTAACTTCCACAAAGGACTTGTGAATGGCTAGAGGTAAGTATTAAAACCTGTTTAGATTGGATATAGTGACTTAAGTAAAGTATGTTGACTCCTTCAGAATTCAAAATAGGACTTTACATTTTCATCAAAAAAGATGTCTACCAAGAAAAAAGTAGGTGCTTTTCTCTTCCTAATGTAGCAATATAGAATGAAAACATGAAAGAGGGAAGAAAGCAGCCCAAGTTCCAAATGTGAGAAAACTCCCAACACTGATGTACAATTCAGGATTGTACTCTTACTGGGCAGCCCTTGAAAATGTGACAGACTAATCTTTTAATATCTAAGCTTTGCCTAAACCCTGTTGTACAGAGACTTGGTGGTACTTGAAATACCAAGATGTTGTCTGACTTTCTAAAATCATCTTCTTGCCTTATGCTTTCTTGCCCACTCAACCCTTTGGCTGATGAGATGACTGTCTTTAGAGGTGCTGTGGTCTAGGGAAAGAGAAAGAGTAGGCTGGGGACTCAGATTCAAGCAACTACATGATTTGAGCAATACTGACAACTGTATTTACCTAACACTTTATATTGTCCATGCTTTATCTCACATGGCCCTTGCTATAATCATGTGAGGTACAGTAAGAGGTATCACTATCCCTATTTTACAAATGGGGACAATGAAGCTGAGAGAAGCTTAATCACTTGCACATCACAGGGCCAGAACTAGGACCATGGTCTTAATAATTTGATGATTTTTTACTACATCATCCTGTCATA